CTTCATCGACGGACTCACCTTCGGATCCACGCATCACCGAACTTCTCGACGCCTACAGCGACGTGTTCGAAGGCCCGCACGGAGTAGTACCGGATCGACCCATCCGCCACGAGATCATCCTCGAGGACGGGGCCATACCTCCGCGCGGTTGCATCTACCGAATGAGCGAGGAAGAGTTAAGTGTGCTTCGGGCACAACTCGACGACCTTCTGGAGAAAGGCTGGATTCGGCCTAGCTCATCGCCATACGGTGCTCCTGTTCTCTTCGTCCGGAAGAAGAACAAGGACCTGCGGTTGTGCATCGATTATCGCAAGCTCAACGCGTAGACGATCGGGAACGTCGACCCTCTCCCACGCATCGACGACCTTCTCGAGCGATTGGGCGGCGCCCAGTTCTTCTGTAAGCTGGATCTCAAGTCAGGGTACCACCAACTCGAGATTCGCAAGGAGGATCGCTACAAGACCGCGTTCAAGACACGGTATGGGCATTTCGAATGGCTGGTCATGCCGTTTGGCCTTACGAATGCCCCTGCCACTTTCCAAGTGGCTATGACAACGGAGTTCCGACACATGCTGGATCGATTTGTACTCATCTACCTCGACGACATCTTGGTGTATAGTCGGAGTTTGAACGAGCATATGGAACACATGCGCACCATTTTGGAGCGGCTGCGACAAGCCAAGTACAAAGAAAACCGCGACAAGTGCGAGTTCGCACAGCAGGGGCTGGAGTACTTGGGACACTATGCGACGCTGCAAGGCATCCGTCCGCTTGCGGACAAGATCGAGGCCCTACGAGTATGGCCCGAGCCCACCAACACCATTGACGTTCGTTCATTCATGGGGTTGGCAGGCTACTATCAGCGATTCATCACCGAACACTCCAGGATTGTTGCACCTATGACGAGGTTACAGTCGCCAAAGGTGCCATTCGTATTCGATGACGACGCACGCCAGTCATTCCAAGCACTTAAGACRGCTATGCTCATGGCACCCGTCCTTAGCATCTATGACCCCACCCTGCCGACGCGAGTGACTATGGACGCTTCCGACTATGGCATTAGGGCAGTCTTGGAACAACACGACGGCGACGACTGGCACCCTGTGGAGTATTTCAGCCACAAAGTGCCTCCCATCAACTCGCTTGAAGATGCAAGGAAGAAGGAGCTGCTCGCATTTGTGATGGCTCTCAAGCGCTGGCGGCACTTCGTCCTTGGGCGTCGTAGGTTCACATGGGTCACAGACAACAATCCATTGACCTACTACAAGACGCAGGACACAGTGAGCAGCATGATCGGATGATCGATGTACTTCATCGACCAATTTGACTTCACACCGAAACATGTGCCCGGCCTCTCCAATCGCGCAGCAGATGCACTCTCACAAAGACCTGATCTTTGCGCTATGACACATCATGCCTTCGCATTCGACGAGGAGCTTCAGCGACACTTCATCTGGGCATATCAGTTTGATCCGGACTTCGGCACGCTCTATGCACAATTATCTTCGGATCACCCGCCGACCAGCCATTACCCCATTGCCGACGGGTACTTGCTCCTCCACTCGAGAGGCAAGGACTTACTATGTGTCTCACGCGACCGTCGTCTTCGGACTCGCCTCCTCGGCGAGTATCATGATTCACGACTCGCCGGCCATTTCGAGTCAACCGCACTTTTGCACGGCTTCGACAGCGATTCCGATGGCCCGACCTCATTACCGACGTCACTCGGTATTGCGACTCTTGCGAAGTTTGCCGATGCAGCAAGCCCCGCAACCGCAATCCCCACGGCGATTTACACCCGATGCCTATCCCATGGGAACCTGGTCTCTCCATTGCCATGGACGTCACCGGTTCATTTCCTCGCGACCGGCTCGGGCACGACGGCATCCTCACGGTTGTGGACCGATTGAGTTAGTACGCGCATTTTCTCCCTTGCAAGTACTACTCCACGGCTCCCGAGCTGGCACGCCTCCTGCACACTGGTTGGATTTGTGGCCAAGGTGTACCAAAAAACAATGTCAACGACCGCGACACTCGTTTCATGTTGGCGTTTTGGACTGCTCTCATGCAGGAGTCCGGCACAACAATGAAACCAAGTTCGACTCGACATCCTCAGACAGACGGGCAGACGGAGCGGGCACATCAAACCGCTCAAATGATGCTTCGTGCGCTCATCCGTCCGGACCAGAAAGATTGGGTTGACCGCCTCCCCGACATCGAGTTCGCCTACAACACTTCGGTGCATCCGGCGATCGGCGTGACTCCATTCGAGTTGCACCACGGTGGACGGAAAGGCCGAATCTTCGCCGACCTTCTCCTCCCTCGACCAGCCGACATTGACGATGCCTGCTCTCCCGCTTCCGTCCGGAAGTACAGGGAATTGCTGACTCAAGCCCGTGCAAATATGCAAAAGGCTCAAGTCCGCATGCAGCAGCAAGCCAATAGGCGTCGCGTACCATGTCCCATCCGCGTCGGTGATCTCGTTTGGGTCTCCGTGGAAGAGTTTGCACTGGAACAGAATGTTTCACACAAACTGCTTCCCAAGTGGTTTGGACCTTGGTCTGTGACAGCAGCCGCGGGCGATGAGCCCGATGGCCCTTCATTTGTGATCAACATTCCAGAGCATCTGACGGTCCATCCGGTTTTCCACGCCTCGAAGCTGGCAACATACACACCAGCCAAGAGCGACGACTTTCCGGACCGACGATCGCAGGACCCTCCTTCTATGGATGGCCATCAGGAAGTTGACCGCGTCATCTCCGATCGCAAGTACGACAGCAAGCCGTGGCAGTACAAAGTCAGATTCAAAGCATGCGATCGCGACGACACTCGGTGGATTTCAGGCGCAGATTTGAAAGCATCCGCACCGCTGATCTAGGCGCATTATAAAAAGCGGAGGTTACCTCAGGAAGCTTCACGACCAACCCCTCCCACCCGGATTGTGGTCCCTCCCTCAGAAAGACAGCTTCGCCCTCGCAGGTAAGCTCGGTTCTTCAAGGAGGGGGGGGTGTGGCATACTACGTAGCCACACGGGCCCTGCAGGGCCCGTCTTGGACATTCAGCCTAAAAGCCAAAAACTTAGGGCTTACAGGCCCCGTTCGCTTAAGCCTGAAAGCTGAAAAACGAGGGCCTGCAGGCCCTACTCCGTTTCAGCCTATTTCTGGGTCTTTCATACCCAGAGTTTTTCCAGCTTGAAGCGGAGGGCCATTTTCAGGCCCTCATTGTTTCGACCTGCCCCTAAGACTCAGGCATGCAAACAGGGATCTCAACTATAGTTGCCGCTAGCTTCCAGAAGCTCATTTTCCATGCCTGAGTCTTAGGGGCAGTTTCCATGCCTGAGTCTTAGGGGCAGTTTGCATGCCCTAAGTCTTAGGGGGCGGTATCCCCTAAGACTCATTTTCCGGGACGTCTTCTGGAAGCTAGCGACAACTCTTCGATAGGTTAGTCCTCCTTGCGGCATAGCTCGCTACTTAGCAGCTGCCGACAGATATGCTTCACGCTGTCTGTCAGCAACTGCCTGAGTTTTGACGGAGAGATGGCGGTTCTTGGGTGCGATGACGAGTAGGTGGACGAGCAGTGGACTATGATGTGAATGTTTTCTATCTAAAATCCCGCCATGCGGGCATTGTGTCGCTTATTGGACTCTTATTCGCGGCCGTTTTGTGATCGCCTGTTTTGATCTTCACCCATGGGGCCCAAACACTTCGATTCCGTTGAGCCTCCTCGGGAGATCCGAAAAATGCAGTGTGACGTATATTCCCGGTTTTCCCAACACCCTGAAAAATACAGACAGACTCTCTCTCTCTCTCTCTCTCTCTCTCTCTCTCTCTCTCTCTCTCTCTCTCTCTCTCTCTCTCTCTCTCTCTCCCCCCTTCTGGTTCTTTTTTTTCATGTTCACTATGTTTTCTTTTTCACTTCACCCCCTCCCCCCTCCCTACTGTTTCCCTGTGACCGGGCGTTTGCACGCTGAGGTCTGCGATCTCCCGTGTTAACCACCGCGGTATTGTTTTCCAAGCGGGGAAACCCAGTGGTGGTTTAATTCCCGATGCTACCCGCTGACCCCTGGCCGGTGACGCCACCCAGTTCCTGGTGGGGATGTCCCAATTGGATGTCCCTGTTGGGATGTCACTGTTGACATGTTCGCAGGTGATATGGGTGCTAGGGATTCCCCTGAAGGCGATAAGGCCACGGTGCCCCTGTTATGCGATGAAAATGGTACACTATTAGATTAGACAGAAGATTGAGGATTTACCTTGAATTTATATGGGCTGGTTAGTCCGATGATAACATAGTAAGGTCATCGCCTTTCTAAACCACCAGTTCATGGCCACTTGGGCCAAGGGCCTGACACTGTGACGAACTGTTTCCTGCAGCCATGCGATTTTCTGCTCAAGACTACTTCGGGGGTTGAATCGGGATGGCTGGGTGAATTGCATGGGTGCCCTTGCTTTGATTGTTTTTCTTCTGGAATTAAGGCTGGGGTAATCTTGCGACGTTTGGTAGCTGATCGCACCTTGGCGAGCGCAAAAGATAACTGTTGACATAGCTTCTTTCTTATTTTGCTGTAGGAAATGGGAATTTTGGCGCGATCTTCGCGCAGGAAAATCTTTTTGAATTTGTAACTGATGTCGAGCCCCCACGGGCTCTCGGAATTTGCTTCGTTCGGAATTTCTTTTTGCAATTAGGATATAGATTAGGAATTTGGCCGCACCTCAATTTCTGTTGCACGGCACTTCTTGCTTACGCACGCCTTGCAGTGTCAGGATCTGTGCTCTGTTTTTTTCGTGCCTTAATCCTTGCGTGTAATTGTAATTTTGTTTTGGCGGCCATGATTGCAACTGTAAACCTCTTGTTCTTGATATCTTTTGTGGCACCCCCGTGTGCGCGCACTTCTTCCTCTGTCCTATTGGCCTGAACTCTTGCATGACCAGATCGAAGTGTGGAGTGAGGCTACGTCCCCCACACCGTGGCCTGGCCATGCAGTCGTAGGCACTTCCTTCCTTCTTCTCTCTCCTACTCGGACACAATCCCGGGTATAGCGCGGAATCATGCATGCTATAAATTTCACAAGCGCGATTAACTCGCTCTCTAAGAATTTTGGGAGTTAGCGGGGTCGAGAGGATCGGCTAACAAGCAAGAGTTGGCAGGTGAGTAGAGAGTTGGGCAATCCGACGAGCTGATGCTGGCCATGCGGGGTTCACATGGGGCCGTTGTCGAGCAGGCGCAGACCAGTCAGCCACCCAAAATACAAAGGATTGGGCCTTGGGTTAAGTGTCTAGGAAATAATCAAAACGCGCTTTCATCAGAGTCGTCGGGAAAAATTAGGGACGGAAAAGGATCCCTAAAATCCCCCTCAATATTTTTAAGGACTGACCCTTGAAGTCAACATGATGAACAGCCGCGCTTGCCGCGCCTAACGCCTACCATTTCATTCATTCCGAGGTTGTTCCCGAAGCGGCCGACCGCGGGGCGAGGGTATGGTGCTAGGCCTCGACACGCTTCTTTTACACTGGACGATTGACGAGGGAATGAACCCTCAATTTTTGCTAATTTTAATAACCAAATTAAAATTGAGAAAAAAAAATGAAAATAATGAAAGGGAGGAAAATAAAGGGATATTTGCTACTTAATTAAATTTTATCGGAATTTATTCTTGATAAAATTGTCCTCAAGTTTTTATTAATTCCAATAACAGAATTAATAATGCGCAAAATAATTAAAAATAATAATAAAAGAAGAGAAAACAAATGAATAATAATCAATAATTATTCTTTGATTAATTTTTGCCAAAATTTATTCTTGATAATTTTTTGCCGGGAATTATTTATTTTACCCTGTGCCCGTTGATCCGTGCGGGTCACGATAATTACGAAACCACGCTTGATTTTGCCTGATTGATCTGATTGCTACGCTTGTTTTTACCCCGATGTTGTTGAGTGAGCGGGGCCGATTTTTGGGTTGCGGCGACGTGGTTGGTTTGGTGTTGCTACTAATTCTATTACGGGATGGGTCATGCCGTGTTATTATTTTCGGTGCGGATACTGGTCTGGAACGAGCATGACACATTGGTTCAGAACAGGTACGGTACAGTCATTTGCCGACGCTGGCATGGCGCATTTGCGGTACGACATAGTATTCTATTTTCTGGTCATGGTAACATGGCGGCACGGTACACTAGACATGTACGGAACTGGCATGGCTGCATGGCACAATATTCTACATTGGTTTGGTACAGCTGCTGGATTGGAACTGGCACGGTTTTTGTCGCATGTATTCGGTACTGAACTGGTACCGAGTTCTGCCATTGAAAACGATCACTTCAGGTACGGTACTTGGCACGACATTTGGCCACTAGGGACCGTTGCAATTTGTTCTAGTACAACGTATTTATCCTGGTGTGGTTTTAGCTCTACAACATCCTGTTACGGTGGAACGGCCATAGGAACTCCGCACTGCAGACGAAGCCTCAGATTCTTGAATGACGGCGATTGGGATGATCTACAGTGGTTCTCGGTTTTATGACTCGGTAGCCTGTACCATCTTTGGTATATGGGAGTGGCGCGGGTAGACTCGTTTTGCAGTAACCGTGCAGATTGACACCGCCTATGGCCTGGCCTGGAACGGCCTTTGGATCGAAAATCAGGGCCCTAAACCCCGGTACCAATGGGTATGCTAGTGAGCGATTCTAACACAGTATTTATGGGCACTCAGTACCCGGCGTCGAGAGGCACGGTGAGCAGACTTCTCCTTGGTCTGAGGCCACGACCTTGAGGCTTGGGAATATAGGAGAGTCAAACGAAGGCGGAGGGGGATTTTTCTTTGGGTGTACACGGCGTACGCAGTGTCAGCTCGCGCAGTTCAGAGGGAGAAGCAAGAGTTGGGTTGTGGGGGCGAACGAAGAGGCGAGCTACGCGTGATACGATCTAGGAAACTGTGAAAAGAAGCCTGCAAGACATACTCGGAACATGTGACCCATGGTTCATGGATGAAAGGTATGACTGGGGTACTGAGAGGAAGTGTATCTGACGCGCGTTCTGCTCTGACGCGCCGATCAAGATATGGGATACTCTGCGGCTTAAGGTAAAACCGGCGGCCACAAGTCGTACGAAAGATGGTCAGCTTGGGAAGGATGTGTGAAGCAAGCGGGTGACGCTCAGATTGGTGATCAGACTGACTAGCATCACGCGGGCGAAAGAGCTCGACTCTGAGAAAGAGGTTAGAACGACAGCCAAGAGGGGGGATTGAGAACAGGCGGGAGGATGGGCGAGCCAGCGTACACGGTGTACCCCTCACACCACCTGCAGGCTGAACACGAGTACAGAAAATTTGGTTGACAGAGGGCATTGGGAAAGAACCCTTCTAGCGCCAGGCTCGGAATGGTGACTAAGCAACATTTGCGCAGTTTGTGCTGGAGTTCGATCGAGAGGCCGCTGTTCGAAGGGGAGATTAGCACTTGTGGAGGAAAATTCGGATTGGGCAGACTAAGGAGCGCGTTAGGTGTATCCCGCTCGCTCGAGCATCTCGACAAAGTCTGAATGGGGCGAGTGGTGAAGTGGGGACAGGGAACGTGGATGGGACGAACTTGACCATTGCATATGGTGAGCCTCTTGCTTGCCGCCGGAGTGATTTACTAAAGTCTACGTAGAGGAGGACTTGTGGCGCGCGTCCCTATGAACAGGCAGGTTGCGTCCATGAAAGTTCTTGAGTGCAGTCATTAGTCCAAGACTCTGAAATCCGGTAAGCGATGCCAGGTAGTTGCTCTACCTTAGATCATTCGCGTTGAACAATCTGAATCCTCTGCCTAAGTTTGCAATGAACTTAGACGCCCAAGGCAGTGATCGAATGCGTTCACTCACGAGAGTTGTGATGGTTGAGTTCAGGTAAGATGTGGGACCAGTATATGGTTGGTGAATG